CACCTACTTTTAGAGCAGTCAAAGCAACACCAATAGCATGTTTTTGGAAAAAAAAGGGACAAATATCAATTGTCACTATACGAATGTGTGTCTGTGCTCATTTTTGACCTTGACAAGTCGACTACCAAAATGCAGGAATCGTGAATGGCAGTGAAAATAGTGCACCCGATAATATATCAATCTATGTGTTCCATTCTGAATATACCCTTTAATAACACGGTCACACAATACCTTTCATTCTGAAAATTGAGGCGGTGTAATCACTCAGACGTCCAAGAGTGGTCTGTGAAGCCATCGTCTGAACACAAGAGTAAAAGTTACAAATGATTAACTATATTTCATCATTTATTCCCACTCTTCTTTAAGCCTGGACAAGAATTTGCCACACACAAAAGAGAAGACAATCTTATAAGCATTTCCATGATAATAACAGTTTGGACAATGGGCCCTGGTCTTGTACTGGGCTTGTTTCATTGTCGCAATGGTTCTCAGGTCAGGGCCTGGTTACACTTTGTGGTTGAGAACAAAACAAGAGCTCTTCACTGATACCTTCAGAGGACATCTAAAAAAGAGCTGGTGGAACACGTGACCCGATCTGACCTGGCTTTGTAATCATTAAATATCCAGCCCCAGAAGAAAAATGGCATTCTTCTTTCACCCTTCAGATTTGGCCCACAGGAAGCTCAGATCGATTAGATGTATTTTAAATGAACAAAGACACACTTTTCACTCCAACCATTTCAACTCAAAGAGATGAAAAAATTAATCCTCGGATGTAGGCACTACGTTTTGTCCATTCAGATATGAGCGTGGATAAAAATGGTAACATTTGTATATACGTACTACAATTTTACAAATGTATGTACAATGGATACACAGATACAGATTTTCCCAAACCGCAAATATCTTGCATGTATAAATAATGTCTTGGAGCAAAATTGGGCTAAATATATGTAAAATGTTAAATTCAGGTGAAGGTTCTCGACAATGGCAAATCCACAGCCAAAGCAATCCCCCTGGATACACACATTTCCACAATAAATGGCACGATGTTTGGTAATTCTGAGAAAAGAAAAGTAATAAAAGTAATAAAATTGGATCAGTATTTATAGGGAATATAACATTCACAATCCGCTCTAGTGTTTTGCCTTATTATAGTTTTTATTACATACTTTCTCGAATGTTCTGAAGACAAAATCTGCCTGCACATTTTTCTAAATTTTTTTTAAATTGTACCAACATGAATGATCATTGAATTTCATGGTTGTGCTTCTTTCTTGACATTATTTTTCATCACACCCTGCTTTTTGTAGGGTGCAAAACTGCATATCATGTTTACAACGGATACATCAATTTCGGATTTGAAATGAGAACATATGTGCTTTAAAGAAAGATATGATGGGACTATTTACTGTATCAATTCATGTTATAGTAATATTTTTTTATTCGGATGGAGCTGGTGTATTCTCCCACCAGCTCCACTGGTGTAGGGAGGTTTGTCTTTCCACTACCTCTGCAAAAGTCTGCTTCCTTTGGACTTCGCACAGCCTTACATTACACTACAAAACCGGACCTGTGGCTTTCAAAACCAGCTGATGCGGTGAATGGAAAGGCCGACGTCTTGACATTATAACGACTTTTCATCTTTTCAAATTCACTGTATAATCATTTTCCACCAAATGATTGAAAAATAAGTTGTTTTAAAATTGGTTGTAATTTTCATATGCCCTAATGGCTCCAGTTTTTTTTTGTAAAGAAGTACATTTCCAGTTTTAAAATGGGTGTAAACCGGAAAACTAAATGTTATTATCACTATATTTTTTTATGACTTGATAATTATGTACATTGATTAAGCTGCCAAGTGTTTCATTTTTTTTGTATTTCTTTGTGTTCCAATTGTTTGGTTTGTCTAATCTGCCATTGCTAAATCAAATCCTTCACGACCACGGCTGTCGTGATATTGGGTCGTACAAAATAAATTGATTGATTTGTCTGTCTTCATACAATGGAAAAATTATGAAAATATCAAAGGTTTCTATACTAAATTATTCATCAGTTGCTTTTGAGATGTTCCTTTCTGATGCATGAGGGTCTAAGGACAGTGGTGATAATCCAGGACATTTACAGACATTCAGCTACATTCATGGACATCGATCAATTGAATTGTATTTTGAAAATGTGAAGAGAAATAGATTTTCATATTCACTTTTTTTTGTTTTTTGTTTACAAAATATGATGGATGCAGCTGCCATGACTTTAAAAATAGCCAAAATACATATTATCTGAAAATATTCTACTCTAAATATTATCTTGTATTCATTTTTAATTATTAAAAGAAACTTCAGTCAAGGTTGCCCCTTCAGCCCGCTGGTATTCCCTCTGAACCTGCCTTGAGCCTTTGACAGCAGCTACTCCTCCCCGTCTGTCTTTCAGCGGACGCATTTTAGTCCAGTCAACAAAATGTTTGGGGTAAATTATTGATCAAAACTCTCGTCTCCCGGGCACAAAAGAAGAGGTGAATCTGTGGTCAGACGCAAGCTGAAAAAGCCCAAACACGTCATACACAACAGGAGGTCACTCTGTCAGCCAGAGTGTATATACAGTACACAGAATCACTTTTATTCCCTTTGGTTTGAATTAGGGCTGTCCAAAATAGCGCGTTATTAACGCGTTAACGCAAATCAATATTAACGCCGTCATTTTTTTTATCGCGCGATTAAAAAAAAAAAAAAGTTTTTTTTTTTTTTTTTCTTTTTTTTTTACTTTTTATTGCAGACAAACACATAGAAACAAAGAAAAGGACTAGTTCAGATACATTGTAGACAGAGATTACAAACAATATGTAGTTGGAGATACAGGGGGCCAAAGAAGAAACCCAGAAGGGCACATAGGAGGGGAGGGACATGAAGTGGGAGATGGGGGGAGGGGTTAATAAAAAAGGCAATACAAGCAAACAGTATACAGTCATAGATATACCGAAGGTAAACAGAGAAACAGCATAGAGTATTTACATGAACAAATTTACAAAATATTTACAGATTGTTTATCATCATCATAATGACACCATGATGTTTCTATACAGTCTATGGTCTATACCCACACATACACACACACACCCACACACACACATTGAAGGGGCTTTTTGTTACCAATTATTTATTTTGTCATCCATTTATTGATGATTTTGCATCAAATGTTAGTGTGTAATATAACACTACACATTGTTTTCAATAAAAAAAGCAATTGCACACAGCACGCAAATGTGTGACTAATTTGCGATTAATCGCGAGTTAACTATGAAATTCATGCGATTAATCGCGATTAAATATTTTAATCGTTGGACAGCACTAGTTTGAATGCATTAGGTTTGTATGCTTATCTCGTTTATCCTTTTCTTATACAAAGGAAATAGGAGGAAAATGAATGGAAAAGCAGGGATCTCTTAATCAATTTAATGTGCTATGTTTGGTTTTCAATTACTGGTAATGAGATTAAACATGGAGACAAGGTTACGCTAGCAGATCAGTGCTGTCTTCCTCAACCATGTCCAGCTCCCATAATAGCAATTGTCAACTTCCTCGACCCCAAACACAAATTACTAAGCCATGCGGCAGTGATATAAAGAGGGGTTATTATTATCCGTACACTTTGAGGCTTTGATATATATGCATTCTTAGTGTGCAGTGAAATCCACAAGCAGTTTTTTGTGACAAAAGTACAAACATAAGTTTACTGACTGACCTGGCTCGTACTAATAATAATGCATGGTAATTTGATATCGCTTTTCATGACATCCAAACACTCATTATTCAATATTCAGCTGCCCTGGGACAGACTGATGGAAGCCAGGCTAATCTGCTCCATCTGCCTCTCCGACAAGCAAAGATCATTCATGCACACAACAGGCTCACACAAGGCATTGTGGGTGAAGTGTGTTGCATAAGGACAAAATACAAGTTTGGCAGGACTCCAACCCACAACGAACAGGTTTGATAGGTTCCAGCAGTTCTGAGTTCAGGTGGTTAGTGTGTGGTGAAGGGTTTTATAGCCTTAAAACGTGAATTTTGCTACTTGTCTGTTATTTTTCTAAAGTAACCCCTGCGATAAACAAGGTGCCACTGTTATATTTAACCACAGCACCAAATCTGAATAAATAATACATTTTTCCCCTCCCCATGCACTACTCTACACACCATTTGTCTATTCCTGAACATACTCTTTACGTGTTGGTTGATCAATTACACACAAGATTACACAGGGCATTAGAATCATCACAAATCATTTCAAAAGCAGATCTTCAAAAAAAAAAAAAAAATCCACAGAGCCTTGTTATGGCCAGATTCCCGGCACAAGATATTCTAATCATTTAGGTCGATACATGCGTCTTCTTTCCCAGCGTCTAAAACCCGCTCCCCATCACTGTTTGAAACATTAAGACAAAGGCTGCTTGTCCACGGTCCTCTTTCCCATAACCTTCGCCACCACCTGCATGGGCCTATCTCAAATGTTCTTACAGCGTGTTCCTTGTTATCAAATTCGAAGGTCCTTTTCTGCGCTTAATGTATCTCTCTCAAACTTTCCCGTCTGCAGCTGCGTATGACTCATCTCTCTTGTGACGATTGTCCATTGTTCTGTCTGACACACCTCCAGTATAAGATCATAAGACATGTTTGTTGGAGAGAACAGACAGACGCGGCATCGCTCCAGGTCCCGCTTCTGTTTGACTCATTTCTGCGCAGAAATGTCATTTTGTACTCATCACTTCTGTGAATAAAACTGCACCAAAAGGACAAGTTTGTTTCCTCTCGGTTTCATTCATTTGAGGCAATAGAATTTCCATAACAGCCTTGTCAGCGGAAACATGGCTTCCAGCTTTTGAAATTAGCATAACCATCCGACAAACTTGTGATTACTGATCGCCCGCGGGTATTTGGTTGGCCACAGTTTTTTGCTGTACTGTTGCAGTATGCTAATGTGCATTTTCCATTTTCCCTGTGCAGAAATGCTGGAGTCCAATAACCTGGAGACATTCGAAGGCCTCTCAAACAGCTCGTCCTACCACACCTTTCTTCTGGACGAGGAGAAGGGCCGGCTGCTGGTGGGAGCCAAGGACCACATCTTCTCCTTCAACCTCGTCAACATCAGCAAAGAATACACACAGGTAAGATTTTGTTTAACAGGTGGGGGGGTTACTAGTCAAAATATTAGTCTACTCTTGCTTACCGATCAACACAACAATTCCAGACATTTATAAGTCATCTGCCAGCCAATTTGCTGTAACACAGTGTAATGGTATATGGTTGTGATTTCTAATGGTGTCAAAAGGCCACTCGCTCATTTGGAAAAATCATATTCAATATTCAATAATTTATTGTCATTTTCACAAAAACAACAAAATTAGATTTAGAGCATCACTGTGATAAACTTATGAAGTGCAGAAGTTGGCAGGATATAAACAGCGCACAGCTACAGCTGGGGGGGGCTGCCTGGAGGTAGAGGCTGTTGGCCATTCTCCTGGTTCAGGCAGGGAGTGACCTGTACCTGTGGCCCGAGGGCAGCAGGTACAGGTCCTCCAATGACATTTGCAACAGTTTTCACCACCCTCTGGATCGCCTGCTTCCACACGAGCAGACCATACGTCAGTACACTCTGAATGGCAGAGTTATAAAAGTTTTTCATGAGCCTCTGAGGGAGATGGACTCTCTTCAGCTTCCTCAGATAGAAGAGGCACTGTTTTGCCTTCCCCACAGTTGAGGAGATGTATTGTCCCCAGGAGAGGTTCTCAGACACGATCAAAGTGTGGTCTTCCCGCAAGGAATAACAATTGTCTCGATGACCTCGAAGTGTTGGACTCTCTGTTAAACCTTTAGGCACCAGAGAAGGTCATAACATAGAGGACTACTATAACCAATAACAGGAAAAAATATGTAAAACACGTACGTATGGAAAATACGTATGTGTGGGAAGCCAGGCCTCTTTACAGAAAGTACCCTGGATCCAGGAGCTTCAGAACATTTCTATAAAAGATAATATATTTATTTATGTAAAATGTTGTTATCAGCGGACAACAAAACCATATTTGGAAATATCTCTATCCTTATGACCATACTTTAGTCCCAGATTATTCCTCCTGTTCTTGGTGCAAATCTATATGACATTCAAGTTGCTCCATTAGATCGAAAGAATTAAAGTACACAGTAACAATTACAGTATATAGCCAGCACGAACGTGCAGGCCACAGTTTGAGACGCACTGCTGTTTGTTAGTGGATCGGATGTCTGGGGACGTCCTTTTCTGCTTCTAAAGAAGAGCACTTCGTAAATATTTCAGCGTGAGCTCGCTGTGTACTTGTGTTGAGCTGCCACACCTGGATAAATAATGGAGGAAAGTGAAACAAAGTGTAGGACTAATTTTTTTTCTTTAAAAAAAAAGTTATGTATTTTTTATGGTCCTGGTTTGGTCTGACCAGTGCTTTTTTTGTTGCAGATTCCATGGTTGGCCGCACCAAACCGACGGGATGAATGCAAATGGGCGGGAAAAGATCTATCGGTAAGTAAAAAGTATTCTCTCATTGTTGATAAATACATGAATGGCCTGTGGAGGACAGAGTGAACATAGAAGGACTGAGAATACTGCTGAATTTAAAACAATGGAAAAGTCAAAAAAGGCATATCAGGCTGAGGTTGGTATTCTTCAGTACAGTGAATTATCCGTGTTGTTGTGTGGAGCACTATGCACCAACTCCAACAAGTCACGCTGCTTCTATTGACGGAAGTGAGCGGGAGTGAAGTCTTTGGGTGTTAGTGCGCGGACATAGCGCTCCTCGTATTATTACGCCTCACAATATAGTACCCCTTTTTATCCCCTGAGAAAATCGACATGTTACATTTCTGTGTTAATATACTTTGTAGTGTAACATGTCACGTAACTGTATTTAAATATGGAACACGTGGAAGAGTTTGGTTGCTTCTAAAGGGAGCTGATTTGGTACTATACAGTCTGTGGAAGAGGCTGCGTTTGTGCTCCGTTTGCAAGACAGAGCGCACGGACAAAGACCAGACAGGTACATATGTCAGTGTACCTGTGTGTACCTAGTCTAATGTAAGGTAAGAACATATGTCAGTGTGTAAAAACGGTGGCCTATTCCTTTAAGTTGTGTACGAAGGGTCCTTCATTTTCATCATACACAATAGTGAGTGATAGAATGTCGGGGGATTCATGAAATCAGTTTTGGATCATTGTTCTGCTGGAAGACGCAACTACTTTGCAATGGTGGAAGAAAGTGTTTGTATAAAATTTCACGATACAACCTTCTCTTCATACGGATCGGTCGCAAGCATGTTTCACAGTGGGTATGGTTATCTTGAGAAGCCAGCTGATGTCCAGGCCAGGTTTCTTGCATGATCCCAAAGAGACCCGGGAGATTATCACATGGTCAAATGAGACAAATACAGCTTTTTGAACTTACTTTCTAGTTGTCTTTAGAGGGGGAAGAACACTGAGTAGCATCCCAAATACACCATATCCACTGTGAAAATGTGACATTTTCAGTAATATCATTCTACGTACACCCACTTTTTAACTGAAAATTATATGAAACATGACCGAATCCTAAGCCCTAATAAGTTTTGGAGACTTTTCCTCCTCTCCTTTTCAACCACTCAACGTCACAAGCTGACAATGATAAGGGAAAAACACATTTTTCCACCAAAAAACACCGTCCATGAAAGGATGCCGTAGCCGCAGTGACAAAGCCTTTCCGACTTCTTAACCACTGATGTTGACACGTCCAATCTGTCACAAGGACAACAAGGCGACAAAGCCTAATCCTCTGCCCTTAATCACCCGTGCACTCTGGGAACTAGAATTGACCGACAGAAACGGAGCAGTTTCCTCCTCCGCGACCACTGCTCCACTCAGATAATGACATTTTTCCGGGATCAGCCGCATTATAGTGGGCTTATGATATTAGACTGGAAAGTTTGTGTCAGGCCAAAATATGGGATTCCACTGCCCAAGAAGTAGGACAGGAGTGACCAGACATGCTTTTCTGCAGACTGCGCCATTCAGCAGAGTGTAAAGCATTCAGACAGGGGGATAACAGAGATTACCCACAACTCTTTAGGTTGTGGGTAACTTGGAATCCCTTCAGGTCTTTTTTAACATGGAATCACCATTTTAGAAGTAAAAGGAGATGCATGGTGGAACAATTGAAAGTCAGTTTGAATAGTGGCTTTCATACACAGTTTATAATGATTTCGAACATGAATTCCCCAAAGTAAATACTAAAGAAAGCAAAGTAGTAATCACATTTAATGATAATGTCCATTGTTTTCAGAAGGATGGAAGAATAAATTACGAGCTATTTTTAAATATTTTGTTTGGTTGGTTTCACAATGCTGCAACCGCATGATTAAACTCTTAGAGCATTGTTGTGATCGCAGCTTCATCCAAACCACTGGTTAATTGGCAAAAGCTAAGCAATTCGGGGATTGGATAATACTTGGATGGGAGACTGCTGTTACACCAGGTGGCAGACATTGCTGGCTTTTGTGCAAATAACAACTTGTGATTAGTCAAAACCCGTCATTGTACATTCTTTCTTGAAATTCGTTCAAAGCAGATAGCTGGTGAGATTTATCTTTTCCTCAAATCCGGAATGTTGGTTCAACACAGACGCTGTTCAAATGCAACTATAAAGCCCTGTGCATGATAGAGACGTCTGGGAGTCTAGATTACATAGATTAGATGGATTTTTTTTGTATTTTTAACATGATTATCACAGCAATGATCACCATGCAGTATCTATTTAGCTGTGACTTTGAAATGGTCTGCCAAGATATTCTATGGCTCAGGTCAGGCTGTTTCTGTCCTTATCGTCCAGTTCTATCCTGGAGTCTTTCACGCAAGTGTGTTGCCGTATAACTGGACACTCTCTGAGGAGATTGTGGAGATTGCGGAGGAAGAGCAGTGTGAACATGCGTCTCTGCCCGTGCTCTACCTTACGTCACACGACTATTTTAATCCCAACGCTCTACATATTAAATATCAGCGTGGTTCAGGGCAAGGTTTCCCCTGCTCCCTGCACTATTTGGCTTTCATTCATCAGCTGTTTGGAAACTGTCAATGAGACTACATTCAAATACCATTACAGTACAGAGATTTAACAACTTAAACAACTAATTGTGACTAGCTGGATAACAGCAATCAGACTTTTTTCTAACGTTTTTTTTAAATATATATATATACCGTTATATTGATAAAAATCCCTACACACACAGCCATATAGAACAAAAGCAAAACAACAAAACATGTAAGACACAAAATCCCTTACTCATCTCCACGGCTGCAGTCACACACAATCACGTAATCAGACTTACAACCAATACATGCACACACGCACTCACACACATGAGGAAGGAGGCGCCTATCATGCTTATGTACAGATTTTAATATTTTTCATGTGCATATACCAATATTTTAATAATTGTTAACTGGACTGTATAGACCATGGTTAATTTTGTTTGCATGATAAATTGAAAAAGTAGTTGCAAAAACGCCTCCCACTATTATCAAAGTTAGAATATCCTTACAAAGTGGCAGATCCTCATTCATTCTTAGAACCATAAGGTAGGTTGCGACACCCAGCCAGAACCATAGTATTTTTACCATATTTTTAGATTACAAATAATAACGTAAACAAATAAAAATAAATCACTTATGGTTGGCGATTGTGTGAAACCATATATTGTTTTCTATTTTCAAATTATAACATCTCCCTCAGGGGAGATCTAAACCGTGCAAGGTTTCCCAAGGAACTGCAGGCTTTTTTCCAAGAAGAACGGCCAGAGTTACCTCCGGAGGGATTAAAGGACCTCATCTACAACTACCACAAAAGACTCCAAGCTGTCATAGATGTTAAAGGGTAACACATGCTATTGATAAATGGGGGATGGAAACTTCTGGTCAGGGTCAGAAGAGGAGTTTTTAACGTCAGACCAAAAACTTTTACAAGAAAACACATCAAACACAATGCAAGTAAACCGCTCTGTTAATCATTATTTGGGCCATCCGTAAGCAATAGGTTCAAGACAAATCTTAACCTACTTTGCTCCAGGATTTTGGAAATGCTTGGTAGTATCCTTCCACACAGTGACAACAAACAAACATGAAAACAAGTCTCCGCTGCTGACCCCGTTACGCCTCCTATAGCCGCTCGCTCAAGCATACAGGCCTTTCTGAATATATAATCACACTTGCTTTTACACGTGCAGATTCGGTGTTGGTCGACCTCACCAGGACCGTATGACTAAGCACAACCAGGCTCAAATCAAGTCCCTAATCTGATTATTGGAATCGCTCGGCCCTTATTTTGCAGGCTTACTTTGATCGTGTGTGGATTTTGTGGTCACTCCAACAAGGGGATTACGAGATTCCAAGACATCAGCGCATAGAAAAGTGTGTTTTTTATTTGCTTCTTAGTATTAGTAGGATAAACAATAACAGATGAGATTATGTTTGAGGGAGGAAAGTGCTGTCTGGTATTACTGCCTCAGGAGTGTGCGGTCTGTTGAGGACAGAAGAAGAACGCCACATGGGCTTGGTGTCTTTCACAGTGGGAACATTATTTCTAAATTGCTAAATTGTTACTACTGAAAAAATAATACCAAAAAATATATATTATTGTGTACCCCTAATCTGAAATTTTATGAGGGCTATAATGGGTGGGGTCTCTTCAACTTGTATCTTTCCTGAATCAAAGACAAATATGAGTACCATTTACAGCAGGAGTATCTACCATTCTAATAATCCATATTTTCAAAACAGTTGGGGTTGGGGCATTCATGTTTTCACATGCTTGTATTTTTAGTCACATCAGCTTTTTCAGACAAGAATGTGATTGGAAGGACCAGCTCTCAGGCTACAGAGTCAAATAGTGACTCACATGGATTTTTCTTATAAGTAAACACAAGATAACAGGTTTTCTAATAACATGTTTACTTTTCCAGTGTCTGTACATGAAATAAAACAAGTTAGTAACCCCAGCGTTAAGCAGTTTCCTTCAAAGGACAAAGATTATCTAAAATATTTACTGGAAAATCACATTATGACAGCTAAATTGATTGAAAAAGGTCAAATTAGGATAGTTAAATTCAATTCAATGTATTCTTGTATAGCCCTAAAACACAACAGTTGTCATCTCAGAAGACTTACCAGAACCATTGAAATCGCCAGCTCAGATCAGAAAATCTACAGTTAAGTCAAAAAATATAGAACACATAGGTATTGGTCCATAGGGGGAGACCAATGTCCATACATGTAGATAAATGTCCATACATGTTGTAGAATGTTAGTGTCCTGGATCACCACCACAGTTGGACACTAACTGTCCAACAGACCCTCCTGCATCGGCAAGGAAAAACTCTAAAAGCCTCGGGGAGATCCACATTGAGAGAGGGATCCGCTCCACACGGACGGACGGGCTATAGAGTGTTGGTCCATGTGGTAACTGGATTTAATTGGAATAATCCCAATTACCCCATGGGCCAACATATGCATGCAAACTTTATGGCCCTTAGAAGTAACAACCTACAAACTGCTAGACGCTGGGCTTGCTCAGTCAAATTTGACCTCATGTTTGTTTGTTTTTCAGAGAGAGTGCTCAAACTTCATCAAGGTTCTTCAGCCGTTCAACCACACTCACGTTTATGCATGTGGGACAGGCGCCTTCCACCCTGTGTGCACCTATCTGGAGGTGGGACGCAAGCCAGAGGTAAGGGTCAGGGCTGCCTACTTTCGTCTTAAGTGAATTCACACTTTTCTTTTTGACAGCCTGTTAATGTTATCCTATGTGAATACAGCTATACATATTTAATTCATTTAATTTTCTAGCTTGGGAATCCCCATGATGAAGCTCTCTGCACTCAAATGATTTCAAACTGCACAGTCAAGAAACTTGGGCCAAATATTTAGCCAAAAATCTGGGACCAATAACAGAATGGGGAGGGATGGTGAGACACGCATACATGCAGATTGATGACATTTAGCCCATTAAATGGCTCTAGACAAAACCAATCTGACGTGAAAATGAAGAGACAGTAGACTGAAAAGGACTTTATGAGAGGCAACCTCACTCAGCCAATCAGCTCTCTGCCCAAAGCGTCTTACATGGGCTCTGTCTTACAAGAACGCAAAAGATAACATTCTAATAAGATGAGGATCGGACAAGATGCTCTGATTCGTTAACAGACTTACTTTAACAAGAATCATGTTGGAACAAATAAGTTTGCTCCCCTTTAAACAGCTTTATCCATTGTAAACCACATCAAAAACATAGTTCATAGTGTTCATAGTTCATAAGGCTTAGTATCAAATGACTTACCCAAACCCAGGTTCTAATCTGTGATGTTAATAAATCTAACTACAATATATTTTTTTCATGCTAAAATTGCCCTCATGAACCAGAACGCAAAGTCAAAAGTTCAACGTATCTTGCAAGATGGTTGAATTGTTGCACTGGTTCTCTTGCTCTTGCATCATTCTGCTGCTTTTTTCCCTGACGGTTTAAAAATCTCACAAACGGTCTTCCTTCTCATTACCCAGCTGTTTGTCACTTGCACACGCTACAATCCGGACATTTCCTTTCACAAACCACAGCACTGCTTCGCTCCATTAAACGGGCCCATGCGGCACACTTCCCCATGCTTTTTCCCATCGTTGGAAAGAAGCTATTTACAAACACCTGTGTTTCTGTAGCCCATTTATGTGAATCTTTTTGTGTAATTATACTTTTTTGGAAGATTTTGAAGCCTATATTTGAAATTGAGTAAAATTGTGCGTTTTTTTGTGTAATTGTAAAGCTATACACATTAGGAACATCATCTGATTGGACGGAGCTCAGAGGAGATGAGATAAACATATCATATAATAATGAAATAATAGGTTTCTAATAACATGTGTAATGCAAGTCAACTGAAGGAAAGCATTACATTTTATAAGCACTATTTTTGGCCTGGATTGGATTGGATTATTAGGTTAGTCATAGTAAAAGTGTATCTAACATTTCCAGGAAGATTGCCCCAGGCTGAATTTTAAACGCTGACTCCACATGTTTGGTCCTGACTCTGGGCACCATCAGGAGACCAGTCCCTGTGCTCCGCAGAGTCCCAGCCGGAGAGTTCATATGGCTAACGTGTCACAGATTCTACCATCTTAAAATTATCCAAAAACCAGATTTGATTCATTTCTGTCACTTTTCAGCTTTCTATAGCTAACCCCACTTCCTCACACATATTGTACGTTATACTTTTATAGGCATGTTTCACCATATGTACAAATATAAGATCCATCAAATCTAAGCAATCAAAAAATGTGTAGTGGTGAAGAATAACAGATTTCTGAAAATCTTGGGCTTCAGGCAATGCCCTTTTTTTTATTTCAACGTACCATATTTTGAATAAGAGCCTTGATACAGGGTGTGTATCAAGATTGTAACCATTCTACTCAACATCTAAGAAATCAGGTGATGGTTACATTTCATCACTGCTCTTTCTTCCCACAGGATGGCATTTTCCGGCTGGGGCACCACGTGGAGAACGGTCGTGGGAAAAGCCCGTACGATCCCCGGCTCTCCACCGCCTCAATGCTGATCGGTGAGTGTGCGGAAAAAGGTCCTCCCAGAACGCCCGATATAGAGCTGCCCTCTCATCCCCCAGAGCGTCCAATGCTGCTAATGACAAACCAGGCCCTTCCGCACACCTATTAAAAACAAGGAAGGTCCCCTGCGCCAACTCCCAACCCGTAATCGCCAACGCAGTAAAAAAAGGCCTATTTTAATCCGCCAGATGAGACTCGCGTATGTGTGCTTTGTGACGTTTTTTGGACAGATTCCCAAGTTGCGTTGTGTTGTATTAGGAAGTTAAAAACAGCCAGATGGTAATTTTCTGCTCCATCAACTCGGATTTCCTCCCCGTTTTTTGCAATTTGTTTGTCCCTGTTGTCAGTTTGAACAATGGTGAAACCTTTGAACCATTGCATTGTGTGTGTGTCAAAATCTCTAGCCTTGAATTTCTGAAAGGGTTGTTTTTGAGGATTTTGTATGTGATTTCTTCTTGTTCTATACTTCTAATATAAGTCTCAGTGATAGTCCATGTCTATGTTTTTTCTATATTATGAAAAATAAAAAAAACATTTAACTTAAAACTTTGGTTACATATTTGAAACAAATGAAACTGAGAGAAATTAAACAAATATGTAAATACGCAATTGCTTTTTACCCTCCAGTCAACAACCATATTTTTAGTAGTACGAGAAATCGGAGCCCCAACCAAAATAACTAAGCAGACCCTGGGAAAGACTTTGAAACTCCACATAGACAGGCCCAGTTTAGTCCGGGAATGGAACCCAGCACCTTCTTGCGGTGATGCACAAGTACACGCCAAAGAACAAAAGAAAAGAAAATACATGTATCTTCCATGTTTATTCCAATATTGCCTTTTTGTTCTAATTTCGTAACATTAAGTAGGTTTTTGTATTAATCACACTTGGATTTTAACATGTACAGTATATAAGGTCCGCGCTAAAACAGTACTGTATTTTTCCATTTTAACATGCAATCACAGAGGTCTCCCAGTCCTCCCACGGAAGGTTTTCACACGCTATGATTGTGTCCTGCTCTCTGGGGACACCACACCTCCCTCTAAACACCCAACAAGCAGACCTCAATTACCAGCAGATCCCCTGAGACATGTGTGCGTGTGTGTGTGTGTGTGTTAGGACGTCACAATGTCAAAACCCATGAGTAGTGCACACATCTATATTTGATTAGGGTATCAAATATAGATGAACGCTGCTTGTGCTCCAGGTACTGTAAATAGTGTAATTGTGTTCGAATATGATTTGCCAAAGAAACGAGTTAAACTGTTTTATTGGCAGACATGATTAAAGGACAGTCAAATGGGGGTAGAGCCCACAACATGCTGTCTCCATCTTATTAGAAAACATGTTAACTTTTGAATATTTGTGAGAAAGAGCCCTGTGACTCTGGCAGTGAGGGTGGTCCTACCTTATCACTTTTTTGTCCCAAAAACCTGTGAGAGAGGCCAAAAATACACGTATGTGAAAAATAGTGATCATTTCATTCCACAGTGGGGAAATGTCAGTGTTGCATCACAAGTTACATGCGTAGGAATGAGGAGCACACAGCACAAGATACAGTAAATCTGTATTGAAAAAAAAAATACAAAAATCTAAATCTAGCATGAAAAGAAGCAGTGTAAAATCTCTATCTGTAGATTGATAAGGAAAGATGTCTAAAATCTCAACCTTAAGCATGATGAAGAAGCAAGACTTAAGTACATCTCTGACTTTAGCTATATCCAACATGTTAGATGGATATGGTTACATGGAAACATGTTTCTGGTTTGAAAGTTAGGTACTCTATTTGGAATTTAAAGCCATAGAAATAGGATACAGTTTGAATATTCATTAGTTCTTATTGTGATCTGACTAATCAGTTTTTAAATTCTATATTCCTACAGTATGTGTGGTTTCTGATCACTGCTCTCGTTCCTCTGCAGATGGGGAGTTGTACGCAGGCACCTCGGCAGACTTCATGGGCAGGGACTTTGCCATCTTCAGGACACTGGGGAGGCACCATCCAATCAGGACGGAGCAGCACGACTCGCGCTGGTTAAATGGTGAGGACCAGCTGTCATGCCAGATAAAGGGTTTGAGACTGGTGCATGAAACCACTGATCATTTGGAGACACGATTGTTAGTAAGAACAAAACCATTAATAAAGGTGTCTCTATCAGATTAGAAAATATAACAAATTGAACACTTAAGAAAGGCAATAGAACACAGTCAGTCAACAGTCAATAGTCCATAGGATAACATGTGTGGACTTAAACAAAAAAAGTGAAACTGACAAAAGTTCTGTCCTGAAACAATATAACAAAGATATTGAAAACGTCTTACATCATTCTTACAACATCAGAAATACTGAAAAGAAAAATGTAGTGTGTAGGAAGAAGATTGTTGTATAGAACGTGTCCTGGATTCAGGAGCTTATGTAGCCATTCTGATTCTTCAGCGCCAAACGGTTAACTACCATCCATGAATGTCCTGGATCAGCAAATGTCCTTCAACCCTCCTGCAATGGCAATGAGAACCTACATCCCCCTATGGCAGATAGAGAAACCATGGGGAGTCCAGGACTGAGGATGTAGACCCAGGACTTAGGCATCTGTCAAAGGAAAGTTGGAAGACCAAAAACTACTGTGCCATATCTTCACAAAGAGTTCAACCATTTGTTTGTATCTCGATAGGAGAGAAACGTACAGTTTTTTTAGTCATGTCCTTGTAACGTGAAAAACCTGGATGCGATGATGCTCAGCGTGAAGGCCCGAGCTTACTCTTCGTGAAGCGCACTGACACTGAACTCGCCGCACGTCCGGAGTTTCGCTGAGAAGATCTAGTCCCGATCCTGAGATGGGGGGAATGCTACGCGAGCCAAAGCATTGCGCGACACAGCAAAGAATAGGGCCACAAAGCGCGGAAATGAGCGTATCCGACCGGCGCTGGTGCCAGATCGTGTCGTCATGGTGAGGGGGGAGGGGCGGGCCTTTATGCACATAGACCCATTCATGAAAACGACGTTGGCAGAGGACTGGCGCTCACTTGAAGCCATAATGACAAGTTTGGTCGGAATGTGTGACAGGCCGAAAGAGCGGATTAGTTCCCCTGTTGTTGTTGGGGAGGAGGAGACGATCAGGGATGAGCAGGGATAGAAAAACAGCAGGCTTTATGTTCGGGAGCAAGTAAGTCGGGGTGTTGGTAACTGAACATTAAAGGCGTTTGTGACATCCGTCCATCTGAACATTTTACAAATAGGAATTACTAAATACCTGCAGACTTCTTCTCCATCAAGTGGAAGCTGGAACTGCCATGGTGGCTCTGTTGGGACCTTCCACTTGGTGTTGGAGTGCCGATGGGTCGGTCGTACCTGGTAGCCTGAGAATACCCATACTGTTGTCTGCGTGGAAACCCAATTATGACACTATTTGTCTACAGATCCCACATCAGGGCTGGAAATGCAAATGTATCTTTGTAATTGTTCGGCTCCACTTTGTGAACAACATTTATTATTTTTGCTTCTGTTTTCCTTGTTGACATTTGTAGCACTCAACAGGTTTGGACAATCGAAAAGCACACCTCTCCTTCAAGAATAAGAATGGAGGAAGCCCACACTGAGGCTACGTTTCTGATAGATGATGGCTGATAATCTGTCGTGCCTGGTTTCCTGCTAAGACCTTATCCTTCTTCTAAATGATATCCCTAGGTTTGGTTTTAACAGGACGCAAATGGGTTTTTTGGCAAGGCTCACAGCCACAATGAAGATGGTTGCTACAAGGTGGAAGCCCCCTCACTCGCTTTTGTTGACATGTCCACGAGAAATAGTGCTATGAACAAGCAACATGTATTTGAGTTTTGTTCATATCTCACTTATCTAATATTGTCCCTGAAAGATAAAATGAGAATTTACTTTTCTTATTTTAGACCCACGGTTTGTGGGAGTGCACCAGATCTCAGAAAGCGACAATCCCGAAGACGACAAGATCTACCTGTTTTTCCGAGAGCACGCCATGGACGGAGAGTACGCCGGGAAGGCCACGTACGCTCGCATCGGACAGCTCTGCAAGGTCAGTTGTTCATACAGCCCATAATCACCATAAGATAGAAGTTCAGTCATGCAACACACAATAACAACCTTTATTTGTCCCAAAGAGGAGAAATTTCAAAGGCAAGTGACACTGAGCTCAGATGACACCATGCAATCCACACATGCACCCCCTAATTCATGCTGACAGTTTCTTCTCTTTAGGAAAGAAATATTATGCACTGTTTTAAAATAATAACTATTTACTTTGTCATCTTTACTATTTAAACAAATCAAGGTGAACAAAAAAGCTTTCCACCTGTAACTCTATATGCTGCAAACACAGCCATGTGATTGTAAAATACAGAATTCCACCTGAGAAATGAGAAAACATTCATGGGCAATGCCACTATTTCAGGACTAAGACGGGAGTTTTTAGATAAATAAAATAGACAGAGTTACATGTTTTTGCCAGAAGTGCCTGGTATTAGTGTGGATGGATCAAAAACAACTCCTTGTGGACGGAGGGGCATTGTTAAGAGAAGAAGAAAGCCTGAAGTAGATATATTGGATTGGTTTTGGGAGTTTTATTTGGAATTAATTCACCATAACTAGGAATTAATAATCCATAACTGTTTAACAGCTGTATTAGAGTGAGCCTGAAGGAATCCATTTGCCTTTTGTAAGAGTCACAGTGCTCCCAAGCAGAAACTGCAGCTAAAACCAGCTAGCTCCAATAGAAATAGAAATAGTTTGACATGCCCTGGGGCCTCATTTATAAAACAAAGCTTTCCAAACCAAAGCATAACTTTCACAAGTCGGCTTGATCGTAATGTCTGTGCACAGATCATGTTATCCCTCATTTCTGGATGCTATGATAATGATAATGAGTTGCGCTTTTCAGGACCCTATATCTGCAGTATGTTGAGTTTTTGGATCAAATTTGTGGTTCTTGACAATGAATTTCTTCACCCATAAGCAACGCATTTTCCACCACTAGCAATGAGTGGAAGAACATCTACTATCACTCTGATTCTATAAAATATGACCAATGCAAACATTTCTACTGGGACACGTGGGATCCATTAATTGCCTCTCTAGTCCAGCTTTTGTTGGCATTATCTGTGTTTATTTTTAGCCCTGTGAAAGTGGTCTTTGTTTGGCTGAAACGTGAGAGAAAAGAGAAATGTCAGTAGCAGCGCCAAAGCTCCTGCCCTGGCCTGGCAGTCCTCTCTATGTGGAGGGACAGCACTCACTCTCACAGGACTGGGACACACAAAATATGGTGGATGCCAAAGATTATAGAGAAATAACCCAATGTATGTGTTTTACTATCACAACCAGAAACATAATATACAGATATATAGGGTAACACTTTATAATAATGTTTGATTATAAATCCTTTATAAATGTCATGACTAACTAGTATTTACACATAAAGACTTGTATATAACATGTCTTAATGAGTTTCTGAAGTTTCTAAAAACGGAGCAGAAGAGCTGTAGATTTCCACTTTAGATCGGCGTACAACTTGAGGCTTATTTATGGCTTTGCATTCACTGAAATGAATCAGTATTTCTTTTACACACAGGCTGCACAGAGAAACGTATTGTGCTTGTATAAATTGGCCGAATTGGCTAGAATGTTAGAATTCTCATGGCTGACCATTCCACAGCTTGTCCATTATGCAATCCCTGGTGTTTATAAGAATATGAGCTACTGCTGACGCTGCCTCATCCCCATCATGAAGACAATAGTTCATACAGCGCTGCAAAAATGGCAAGATCTCTCTTATGTCTATCCCGTTAGCAAATCTGGTTCAAAGACTGTCAAAATGTATTGAATTCAAGATCAAAACCATGTGATTCAAGCATTTACTGTCTTAAATATTGAGTGAGGGATTGTCAAAACGTGCTGAAAACATAGAGTAGGCTTGTACGGATATAGGCACATTAACATTGACACCACTGTTTCATATTGCAATCTGTAACTTTTGTTTATAGTTTCAAGTTGTTACATGAAATGAAAAATGAAAAAAAAGACAAAATAGACAAGTAGGTGATGATTATTTATGTAGCGCATTTCACAGACCAAGGTCACCCAAAAAACTTTACAATGTTCAGAGTTCAGAAATGTTTTCATTCTCTCCACACGGTAATGACGGAAGCGAGACGTCAAACACACTGGCGCATCAGAGCCATCCATTCAATCACTCATTACGTTCATACCTATTGAACATGTTTTAGTGGTAGGGGAAACCGGAGCACCCGGAGGAAACCAAATCAGAAACGGGAAGAACATGCCAGCTCCACACAGAAAGGCCTGGAGTTGGAATCGAACTCAGGACCCTCTTGCTGTGAAACACAAGCTCTAACCGCTGTGCCACCGTGCTGCAAAATAAGCACACAAAATAAAAGGGGGAAAGAATTGATATAATAATAATAATGAATGAATGAATGAATGAATAATGAAAATTGTAAAACTGTTGTGCCTGTGTTACAGAACGACTTGGGAGGCCACCGGAGCCTGGTGAACAAGTGGACCACGTTTTTAAAAGCTCGCCTCGTCTGCTCCGTGCCCGGCAGTAACGGCATCGACACGCACTTTGACGAACTGCGTAAGTAAATGATTAATCTTCTATTCCGCTTTACCAAGTTTCAGCTGGACTAAGTAGAAATAGACACAAGAGTAAAAGTACTTGTGCATTTTTGGATTATCAGGTGATACAACATTGAGAAAGCCGATTGTTTGAATATATGGGGCAGCTGAAATAAACATAGTGTTTTTTGACAATTGTAAGATGTCAAAGGTGCCACCAGCTCTGGTGTGTGTCGTCTTCTCTGTCTGGTGCACACCGGGGTAGTCTTGCACAGTTTTTCCAATGTGGTTTTACTGCAAATGGCAAATAAATTAATCTGAATCTGAATCTGAGATGTTGACGTAAGACAAGCTAATATATACTATTGAAATCAGCTAGCTAAGAAGCATAGCAGCTACTAATATTGTATGTTTTGTGTACTCCCTTGGGACAAATAAAGGATCTCCTATCTTGATATAGTTTTGGCATGAATTGTATCAGATTGGGGCTAGGTTTAAGAAATGTACGGCATCAGAAATAGCTTTGTAAGAGGAAACAAGCTGATTTAGTATAATATTTTGCATTAGTACTAGCTCTGTAAGTCACTGTTAGAAGCATTGGGCTGAGAGCTGATTGGCTGAGTGAGTGAGCTGAGTCAGACTTCATTTTTCAGTCTGAAAGAGCTGATGTAAAGTTTGGACAGAGGCCAAAAATACATGCGTTATATTAGCATTAGAGCTGTTTTAAGTATGATAGGCATTAGAGCTGTTGTGTATGAAACGTGTACTTCCCTTTAGCAGTATTAGTGAATAGATGGATTTATGTATGTATTTATATTAATTGTGCTTGGAAAGTTACAAACCCCTGCTTTAAATTAAACCAATTGAATGTAAAAAACCACCATTATTTTATATGTGTTGATGGAAATGTCTATCGAATTGGAAAACCATCCCTAATTAAATATTAAAGCGTTGCGATGACTTTTCCAGAGGACGTCTTCCTGATGAGCACAAAGGACCCCAAGAGCCCTCTGGTCTACGCCGTCTTCACCACCTCCAGGTACAAACTCCATGAAAGTCTAAAGTTGGAGATTTTAGACTCATTTCCTTATTATGCTAAAGATAGAGATTGTATACTGCTTATTTTTATGCTAGATTTTATTTTAGAATAGGAATTATCCATTTATCTCGTGCTATATGCTCCTCATTCCTACCTTGTGATGCAACACTGAAATTTCCCCAAATAAATGATCTCTTAATCTTACTGCTGCTTACACTGACATTGTGTCAGGGGCCACAACACAAATTATAATTGGGGATGATTTTGGACTTTTTTGTGTTGAATACTGAAGACTAAAAATCAATCCCATTTTTTTTTTTTTTTTTATAGCACAATTTCATTTACAAGGCAAATCAAAGTGCTTCACAAAACAGTATTTCTTAATTTACACACTAGCTATCACAAACTGTATACTAACAAAACAACAACACACAACAAAATAAAATAAAAACAAAAATAGCATACTAAAAGAGCAGGGGTAACAAAATATTTTACTTTGCAGAAAAAAAAAAAAGCATGTCAACGGGCTAATCTATAAATGTCTTGTGGATAAGTCCCAATATTTATGAGAATTAATTCAAAAGTTTTAATTTTTGTTTTGGTTGTTCTATGGAAAACACTTTTATGGACTCCCATTCATCTCCGGTCCACACTTTTCCATCAAAATAGATCATTTTTCAAGCTCCCAGACTTTGTGCAGCCCTGCTCTAGGACTTGATAGTGATATTTTTAAACATACATTTTATTTAGCATCTGAATGATTAACGTAACTGAACCTGATGAACTGCAAAAGTTGAACCTTTCTTTTTCTTCTTTCTTTATTCTTGGCCTGCAGTAACATCTTCAAAGGCTCGGCGGTGTGCATGTACAGTATGGCGGACATCAGGAGGGTTTTCCTGGGTCCCTACGCTCACAGAGATGGGCCCAACTACCAGTGGGTGCCGTTCCAGGGGCGTGTCCCGTACCCCCGGCCCGGGACCGTAAGTCTGCCAACAAACTGCATGTGGAATTACCTCAAAGCATGGTGCACAGCAAATCAGACTTGAATTGTCCTCCTCAAAACTATGTCCTGATAAGTTATTTTTTAAACCTTATCTGTTATCTGATCATGTGTATTCATAGTCTCTCCTGTAAAGTCTTCTATTCATGGGTCTCAAGCTGTGGCAATGGTCCACCATCTCCAACCAATCAAATCCAAGTATTGGTTGGACGGCTTTACAATCCTCAAATATCCTAACTAGAAAATAATAACTGCAGCACAGAAAAAAACGTACCCTCATTCTCTACACCAGGCCTTTTCAACATGTCGCCTCCTGGGGCCAAATCAGGCCCACCAAGCAATCTGATCTGACCCAAAACCCATTTTCCAAATGTGAAAAATACATTTAGCGTAAATAAATGTAGTCATGGAAAAATATTGGATTGTTTCTCGTCCAGTCCAAGTCCAAGTCTTCTGAGCATTGGTCACTCTGTTGGCCTTTATGAACCAATAACTTCTCCATTTGTCTTTTTGTTTGATTTAATAATCTCCTGTTGGCAAATCAAACAACCACCTTTGAGATGTACAACAATATATCGCTTTGATCTGCTGCTGGCTCAGTCACGGACTGCTTTTGGAGATTTTTTATTATTCACAAAAATATTAGTCATTATAGGATCCAGCCCACAAACAATCTTGCCCTTGAGAAAAAAATTCAGTGGAATAGGCCAGCTCTGAATTGTCCAATAGTAAAAGGATGCATGCTTTTTTATGATTATCATTCCCAAAAATAACACAAAGAAACTGTCAGAAGTCCATCTTGAATGTATTAACATTTTGGTTTCACAATTTACCTCACTGTAACACACTGTATCTTCCCATCCCTAGTGTCCGAGCAAAACGTTTGGAGGCTTTGACACGACAAAGGACCTTCCGGACGAGGTGGTGACGTTCGCACGAGCCCATCCTGCCATGTTTAACCCCATCTACCCCATCAACAACCGGCCCATCATGGTGAAGAGCGACGTAGACTACCAGTTCACCCAGATCGTGGTGGACAAGGTGGAGGCCGAGGACGGGCTCTACGACGTCATGTTCATCGGCACAGGTGGGACTCAAACTCACTAAGATCTTTGTGCTGTGTTGCTCACTCTTCAGGCCAATTCAAACGAACTGTGACATCATTCATAATTCATCATGTGACATCATTCATAATGATGTTGGCATATCATTATTTTGGCAGCTTGTTCTGGACACTTGGAGCAACACTTGGAGTATAGGCCAGAACATACTGTACTTTTAAGATGTGTAGATTCTTGTTCTTGAGGTGACAAGAGCCTGGACTTTGCTCTAGCCTCTCAATACGTTTGAATTAACCCCATACAGAGGTAGATGATTTAAAGATGGGATACCAAACCTTTTTAGGGTTGAATATTATTGGTCCCTTTTTGCTTTTTCTTGTAAAAGTAAAATGTAAAGTAAAAAGTAAAAGTAAAAAAAACATGTACATTTGCATACTTGTAAGAAAGAGTCACTATTTGATGCTTTGGGCTGAGCAATGTCAACGTCAAGTTTATTTACACACATTTAAAATGCCAAAAGCCCAAAGTGCATTACAAATTGGCTAAAAACATAGTAAAAACAATTAATTTAAAATGCACAACAGACAATAAACAGAAATATAAAAAGGGAGATTCAGCTCAACGCATGTTAAAAAGCCAGTGAAAAGAAATGGGTCTTAAGAAGGACTTTTGAATTGACCAGTGAATCAGCGGCTCTGACCCACGGTGGTACAGTAGATTGTTCCAAAGCCGGGGCCACAGAGAAGGCTCGGCCCCCTCTACCCTTCATATTAGTTCTTACAGAATCCTGAATACACAATAGTTTATTCAAATACAACGGGGCCAGCCCATGAAGACATTTAAAAACAAAAAGTAGCATTTTTAACTGAATCTGGTATGTGACAGGAAGCCAGTACAGGGGTTATGTGTTGAGTGAGGGTGGTCTTCTCTTTTTCACTTTTTTTGTCAGAAAAAGGTGATCTAAAGATGTGACAAAGGCAACAAAAATGTGCATGTGAGGACTAGAACCAAACTGTTTTGAGGAACTATTGACATTGATTTTATGACTTAGTTCTATTTTTGTGGTTTGAGTGTTTGGTACCCCGGCTTTAACTTTAAATTCCAGGACAGTTTGGTTTGGTGATTTTTGTTCTCACTTGCCTGTATCAATCAGTCCTCACCCCAAAGAATCAAATAGTGACTCAAAGGGCTCTCTCTCACATTATGCAAAATATAACATGTTTTTGTGACGAAGACGAAGACAGCATGTTGCGACATTTCACTTTCTGTTCAGGTTTTTTCAGTTTTAGATGCAGTTTATTTCACATTTGCAGTAAAAAAAAACCCCAACACATTACAATACTTGTGTGTAAGTACCCAATGTGCACAAGACAATACAAGACGAGCAGACTAGAGACTAAAGAACGTTTCGTGACATCACTGCTTCTGTTTTCAGACATCGGGACCATCCTGAAGGTGGTGTCCATTCCCAGAGGCTCTTGGCACGATCTGGAGGAGGTCCTGCTCGAGGAGATGACTGTCTTTAGAGTAAGTGTTGGTCTTTCATACAGAGAAGACCCTCCCCAAAATGTCATAATTACAATTTTGTCTTTTTTACAGGAGCCCACTGCCATCACCGCAATGGAGCTGTCCACCAAACAGGTACTTTGGGATTTTATATTTTACCATGTGAACTTCTTGAGTTGAGTGGTGAATATATGGATGCTGAATACATGCTGAAAAACAGAAATGGCCAAAATGAGAAAATCATGGCAGTAAATTATATTTTTATTTCATTGTTGAATATGCCAGAATCTAAATGCAATTGTAATGAATTTCTGGAGATATTCTTAACTCAGCAATATTTTGTGTACTGTTTATCATCATTTATCATCATCATTATCATTTAGATAGCATGTGATTGCACCAAAAGTTCCTCAAAACTGCTGGTTGGAATAAAAAAACCAAATTATTGTTAGTTTCGATAACAAGGCAACCTCTGGGAACACTAAATGCCACAGTGGGGCGGCTGCGGCTGTAAAGTACCGGACTGCCGTTGTGTCCTTAGGCAAGACACTTCACCCCCATTGCCTAGAATGAGTCTGGTGTGTGTGTGAATGTTTGGTGGTGGTCGAAGGGGCCAATGGCACATACTGGCTGCCTCGCCTCTGTCAGTGTGCCCCAGGGCAGCTGTGGCACACTGACTGGCAGTAGTAGTTCATCACCACTGTGTATGGAGTGAATGAATAATGACATGTAAAGCGTCTTTGAGTGTCCAAAAAAGTGCTATATAAAATCAATGCATTATTATTATTTTTAGTTTCCTTCACAAGCCTCTTATTGCACTTCATTCAATCTCAGTAGAATATATAAAAGTTAAATATCAAGCCGAACAACAACATATTTTTTCAGGCAACTTGCCATTTAACCTCTGTCCAAATATAGACAGAAATGAAGCCTGACCCATGTGTTTTTTACAGGTGGGTCAGGTGACGACGTTTTTAATACTACACAAACGACAATACTTTGCATAAAAACAGTTGTGCAGCCGTGTCATATCATTGCATTTCTTGTTTTTGAACTGTTTGTTTCTCTGATCTCATCCAAACACCACGCCAACCTTTCCCTTTTTAAAGATGCAGTTAGTGATTTTTTTTTCCAGACACTTTTTGTATTGCGGGAAAACGTCCCTGAACCCTATAAGTAGTAAAGTTATCATGTGTTTTCAAATAATAATGGAATTGACCAGATCCATCCATCCATCCATCCATTTTCTTCCCCTTAATCCATTTCTGGGTCGGGGGGGTGGCCAGAGATGCCACCCAGCACACAGAGCACCAGCCCCTCACTGATCCTCCTGCAGGTGGTGAGTCCACAGGAGCTGAGATCTTTCAGTGGGAGCTTCAGGCAAAGTGGAGTTAAGTGTCTTGCCCAAGGACACAACGACAGCAGTCATCAGTGGGAGACGTGTAGTAGGTCTTACGGTGGGCTCGAACCCACGACCTTCAGGCTCAAAGGCCAATGCTCTACCAACTGAGCTACTGTCGCCCCCGGAATTGACCAGATGTCTCCAAAAAATTAATACAAAATATTTTGGTGCGTTCACCCTCTTCCTGTTTCTCGCGAGTGTGTGCACCTGAGTTATCGGATTTTCTAAAACCTTAAATGGCTGAATAGAAAATGTCAATTTCCCGGTCAGACCAGGGCCTTTCTGAGTGGAGTTTGCATGTTCTCCCCGTGTCTGCGTAGGTTTCCTCCGGGTACTCCGGTTTCCCCTACCACTAAAAATATGTCCAATAGTTCTGGCATGCGCCTCCTGTACTGGTGACCCTGCTCCCATCTCTGTGTGGAGTGAGAGACAAATGCCCAAAAATTAACAATTGTAAACCGCTTTGAGACTCATATCTGCAGTGAAAAGGCGGTATATAAATAAATACTTACTTACTACTTACTACTTACGTTTGTCACCCACTCTCCTTGCTGTGACAAAGAAAACAAAATGTTGGATGAGGCGAGGAGAGGGGGGAGTGGTTTCTAGTTGGTGCTACGGCTACGCTAACAAAATCGCTTACTGCACCTTTAAACGCGTAAAAACCGACAGGGCCTAATACGGTGTGATAAACGAGAGTGCTATGCTAAACTCCTAGAGCGTTTATCCACAGGCCCGCAGACAGAGGAGATCCCTTACAGTAAGTGGGGTGTTCCCGACTCGGGCTGTTGTCAGGGTTTAGAAGAGTCCTGCGCAGGTGACACGTTTTGTTGAAGAAAAAAAGTGCAAAGTAGAACAATGCCTGGCTTGTCTGAGTGTTGTTGGACATTGAGGAGCAGACGTGTCCACACACATATCCTCACTGCAGGATAATGGCTTTAAATATGTGCCAGAGTGACAGCTCGTGGGACGGCCTGTCAGCAGACCTCGTACATAAACGTGAGCTTAGAGGAAACAGGCGAGGGATTTGGTGGGGGATAGTAACCTTGTCTTTTGATTGGAGCGTGCAGGTGAGGTGTGCGCATTTATGTTGTTATTATCGTCTTAGCTGAGGGGAATGTGGATTTTGTTATGTTCAAGATTGTAAAACTTAAAGGTATATAGGAGGATTTTCCCAAATTTTAGGAAAGAACCTCCCTCTCCACTTTTTGAACAAAACTCTCCGGTCTTATTTGACGAGCATGTGTCACCAGAATGATTGACAATTGGGAGTAAAGCATCCTCCTATATAGCTTTAAGGCAGAAATCTACTTGCAATATTCTGTTATGAAAAAGGGAAAAGAGTTTCTTAAGGAGTCTTTGCCATTGGGTAAAAAATAAAACACAAAAAAGTACCTGCACAAATATTCACATCTTTTGCTATAACTTGATTGCTATGTAGAGCAGGGCCTGGTTAATAATGTGATGGTAGACATCTGGAAACACCGGGTGCTATGGTGGGGCGGCTGCAATGGTAAAGTCCCAAACTGACGTTGTGCCCTTAGGCAAGACCCTTCACTCACATTGCTTAGAATGAGGTGTGTGCGTGAATGGTTGGTGGTGTGTCGGAGGGGCCCGATGGCACATACTGGTTGCCCCTGATACTGTCAGTGTACCCCAGGGCAGCTGTGTTAGTAGCTACAGCAGGGGAGCTACAGCAGTAGTTTATCACAACCGTGTAGTGAGTGAAAGAATAAGTATGAAGCATTTTTGAGTGTCCAGGAAAGCGCTATAAAAACCTGATACATCATTATTATTATTATTATTATAGATGTTTATACAACTTTTCTGAAGCACAACTGTGCGCTGCATATTTAAAGCCTTCAAGATGTTGCGTTGTTGGCAGTACACTTGAAAGAATTTGCTCACAAGAGGGTGGCACATTATTTGTTGAGCACTAAAATAGATCTGTCTTTTCATGAAACTACTTGGTAAAGAGCAAATTGTAAGCTATTCCAATCTGTTTCCGATGGCACTTAACTGTTTTTGAAAAAACTATTCCTATGATAACTGATTTTGAATCTCAGAATCTTCAGAATTCACTTGAAATAGATAGATAGTCAGCTATTGCTAATCCCAAAAACTGTTTTTGTTGGGGGAACATTGTTAAAACCTCAAAACAAATATTTCGCTCAATGTGACGACTTTGTCCTTGGTAGAAAGAAGATACCTTTTGCTTTTAGCTTACATATTATTTATGTTTATATTGTAGTCAAATGCCTCTGTCTTGCCATCTGAAATTGCTCTGTTGAACTAACTGGTCTTGTGCTTGTGCGTCCATAGCAACAGCTGTACTTGGGCTCGGACATGGGCGTGTCCCAGATGCCGCTGCACCGCTGTGAGGTTTACGGTAAAGCCTGCGCTGAGTGCTGCCTGGCCCGGGACCCCTACTGCGCCTGGGACGGCTCTGAGTGCTCCCGATACTTCCCCATGGCCAAGAGGTATGTTCACGCAAACATATCCGGACTGCTTTACATTTCTATGCGGCCGCTGGACCCTTCCCAGCAGTTAACCTCAGACCAGTCTGTTGCTCATTTATATTAATCAGGAGTCTGAGTTGTAACTTACTATGTGCTACCATGGCATGTTATACATGTATTCTGTTCTCTTTCATAATTCTTAGAAATAATTTGCTATAACAAAATATCCAAAAACACAAATAATCTCTAGCATAAAAACTTTAGCATGACAAGCAAGTATAACATCTTATTGCATTGTTCCATTGTTGTTTCTCAAGAGCATTTTTAATGAAATACTCCATAATGATAACACATTTTAGACAACTCCCTTCGCACCCATGGCAGTAAACATGTCCTACAACATAGATTGGCGTCTCCATAGCTCCTTCGATTCTTGTTTATGGCCCACAGCTGGCGGTCCCATACTTGGACGTGTGCTGGTGTATTGTGTGCGATACCGAAATGAATGATGTCTGTGGATTCCTCCGCCGCACACACACCCTGTAATTACAGCCTCTGATGCTCCTGCTGCTGTTAGTTTATCTGTTTGTGTTGGACGCTGGCTGAAACCCACACTACGTCTCACACGCGCTGGAGGCTCCCACGTGGAAGCAGAGCGGGGAACAAGACCTGAGTTTACTTTTTACTCATGTTACAAAATTGTTCCATCATTGTAAAGAGACCTGTATGGGATTTTTAGTTACCCTTGGAATTTAGCAGTTTTATTTATTCTATTCAATCTTTTTTTCCTGTATAGCCCTACGTCCCAAAAGCAATACACTTTTAACCCTTACTTAATTCTTACTTCAAATAATAAATCGATATTAAATTGATAAAAAATACTCGTCCATTGTTAATTTATTTAACAATTGGCAATAGCACTTAATGCCTTTATTGAAATGAACTGTCTCTGTTCAAGTAAGCAGCACTTTTTTGACATTTCGAGCATGTAGCATATCGAGGGATGAAAATATACCCAGATCATAAAGGGAGGGGCCCGATGGCACAGACTGGGTGTCTCACTTCTGTCAGGGGGCCCCTGGGCAGCTGTGGCTACAGTAGTAGTTTATCAGCTTTTGTATGGAGTGAAAAGAACAATGTGAAGAGTCTTTGAGTGCCTAAAAAAGTGCTACATAAAAGCAATGTATCCCCACAATTGCATTATTCCGATTGGACTCTAACATAAAATGTTGCTTTAAAAAACTCAACAATAAATTGTATTGTAATCCTCTGTAGGTCATAACATTTTACAGATTTTCAAAGACAATGGCAACAATCCAAAGAGTTCAAACCACCGTTCTTAGTTCTTTTCATGCAGAAATGTTCCCAAAATGTTTCTCATTTTCTGAAGGAAGCATGTTTTTTGCCTTTTACTTTTTTCTCAATTCGTTTTGGAAGGAACTCATTCCACCAGATTAGGCCACTATTAAAATATCATTAAAACTCACTTTCATAAATTCAGTCTTCGCTATTTACGCAATACAGTAAGAAAATATATCAAAAATTTATTTCAAATGTTTTGCAAAAGAACACAATATACACAATGAACAAGATACATAATAAACAGAAATAAACTGTTTTAAAAAGAGGATGGAAGAGGCAGACGTTTATTTGGCTCCAATCCCTCTCACTCATTCAACACAACCCAACACAGTCACACTCATCCGCAACACAACACACCCACTTGACACAAGCACAACACACAACAAGACACAGGTCCAAACACTCTCTGACCACACACCTCCCTCCCCACTACTCGCTCTGCGCTGAACTCCTCGCTCTTCCACATACTTCTTCAGCACTTCCTTCTAGTCGTGAACTTGCTAACACTAAAATCTTCCAGTCACGTTAATGCTAATGATCTTTCTGCTTTCATAAATATAGCGGAGCAGCCACATTCTCCTCAGGATAATGCAAATATAATTGTTTTTGCAGGAGGACCAGAAGGCAGGACATCAGGAACGGAGACCCGCTCACACAGTGCTCCGACTTACAGCACGACGGTAACCACACTTCTCATCTCATTATCTGCTGTATGGAACATGTAATTATGGAGGCCAGGATTCCCCCAGAGCCACCCACCCCTCACACACACACTCACCGCTGTCCACAAACAAGGCTCCAGTCTCCAGTCCTCCCTGAGAACTCCAGCTCCACCACCACAAAAGGGCATGCTATGGTCCCAGCCCGGTTAAGAGTTCCACCAGAGGATCTATTATCTTCAACAACTCATACTTTCTCATTTGTAGTACTTTTTTTACTCTTCCCCCTCACAGACAATTCTTATCATTCATACATTTACAGTAAGCACTTTTCTTAACGTTTGGAGCCCAGTGTGACAGTATTGATGATCCAGGACACTTGACCTTCAACAACATTAATGGAGATTTTTCAATATTTATGGACATTGGTAATCTGCCACATATGGACCAATGGCTCTATGTGTTTTTGATCATTGCATTTCTAGTGTTTGAAGTCCTCCTACAGTTGTGATTTAGGGCTAGACAAGAATAAATTTAATTGAAATCAATTGTCAATTTAACACAGCAAGGCTTAATCACATAGAGCAAGCTTATTTGCGTAGCACGGTTATTTTGAGTTGGACGATTCACAACCCGACGTGGCCTTTCTGTGTGAGTTTTTTGTATACATTTACTAGTTTCACTGTTCATACACAAGGGAACTGCTTTTCAAAACAAGAGCAGAAACATCAAATAAGTTTCAACATTTAGACTGCGATTTTTTTTATTTATTTTTTTATATGAGGTAATAAATACTTAAATCGAGTGGTTTGTATCTAAATTGGAGCATATCCAGTCTTAAAACAAGATTTGCCAATGGGACACAGCCATTTAGTCTTATTTCAACAACTGTTACTGTTTTTTCTCATTCCAGGCAAGACATAGCTTGAATCTTTTTAAAAACAAGATAATTATTCCTGTCCCATTGGCAAATATTGTTTTAAGGCAGTCAAAATGTGCTTAAATTAAGATTCTTTTAACCAAATAAGGAAATTCTTGCCTTATTTTTCATCTCTTTTTGCAGCGTAAATGGTAAATAGCTGTTGATGTAACTAATTTCATGTGACTACTGTATAAATATTCAAGTTCATTATTAACCTACAGCTATCCAACCTGATTTGAGGGTTCTTTGTAAAGAGAGACTACAGTTATCTAAGATGCTCTGTTTCTTTGTGGGAACTGAAGATATTTATTTCAGTTTTGTCTGAGTTTAGCTGGAGAAAGTTGTTTTGCATCCACTCACTGATCTGTTGGATACAGTGAAGAAGTGAGTCCACTGGTCCATGTTCTCCTGCAGTCAGTGAGACATAGATCTGGGTGTCGTCTATGTAGTTGTCTGATTCTATGGTCGGATTAAACCACATTTGAACACTTAGGCCTGAATAAATACTAAGCGTCACACTTGGAAGAAACCATGCACTGATGGTTAACCTTCAGTTGTTATATTTTTATATTCAAAGTATGAAGTAAATTAAGGGATGCAAAGAATAGAAATAATTTCGTGTAAATTTGGGAATCCATCAATATTTTTCCCTTGTTTATTGATTTGTCAGAAACAAGGTTGTTGAATTAATATGTCAATCAATTTATTTGTACAGCATCATTTGTGTGCAGGGCAATTCAAAGTACTTCACAAGAGCAATTTAATGATATGTATCCAGGTAAATGTATCCAGAAGTAATGATGGATTAAAGTGGTCATTACATTAAATACATGGGAGTTTTGACCTTTCTCAACAGAATGGCCCGTGAATATTGGCTTTGATTGCACATTTGACGCTTTGATGTAAAAGTGAAGGACAGTGAGTAGATTAGCCCATATGTCAGATAGCATTTCTCGCCTTTAGTGACAGCCCATTACCCCCAGTGCCTGTCGCCGCTGCCAAACCTGCCTATGATTTATAACTATTTGCATTCAACATGATGCTAATGTCAATATTTTGGAGCAGGGAAAAGGCCAAGTCAAGCTGAGTCTGATAAATTATAATGGCAAAATGTGAAACCCAGCATATTCCAAGAGGTTCAGAGCTTGGCATATGTAAAATAGTCATATTTCATGCCTCATTTATACGGAAATATCTTGGAAAGTAAGCGTAGTGAACGGTTGTCTGTAGCAGCAGTTTCCAATAGCGATTGGGAGAGATTTTGGGCGCCACAAATGTCAAACGTGAATGGATAATGGCCAATCCCTCATGAAGAGAAAGCCACAAAGTCGGCTTGGATTCTGCGGTGTCTTAGGCCTCATAAAATGCTTTGTAAACACAATGTCCGTTCCCACCAGTCCTGGAATGACAACACTGTGCAAGGTCATTCTCACAATTTCTCACTCTTTTTGTGTGTGTATTTAATATCTGTGAACGGATTGTCTGAACGGTTGAATACACAATACCTCCTTTTCTTTTGCTAATCCAAGAGCAAAATGAGGCATTATTTGGGTTTCCAGTTTGTTAAAAAGTAGGTCTTTCTTTCTCCACTCTTTCTTTCTCCAAAATGCAGGTGGTTATTATTTTGAAGCTGTTTTATAATTTACACAGACACCTGCACATGCCTGTAGATGGACATATGCATTTGAGTACATCTATGTGACCTGGTTATGAGTTCCAGTACACACACACACGCACACAAATATGCCACCACAATCTGAACTATTGCGCACACAGAGAAAATCACTGTTGCACATGTTTTTAATGTTCTAGTTTGAGTTTTTGGTGGATAAGATGGAATAATGTGACAAGGCTTGTTGCCAATTGTTAACATGTATTTTATATTATGCCTATTTCTAGATCGTAAGAATTAGACAAGTCAATGTCCTCCTGATTAGCTGCAGTTATTCTGGGATGTGACGCTGACACTTTCACACATGACTTAGGGTAAATTCAATTGCGGTGGACTCTCCATTGTCTCTGCGGTAACCTGAGCCATACGCCACATTAAAGAGCATGTGACTGCTTATATTTGTACACTTGTGATGACTTTTCTTAGTCTACTACTTTTAATCGATACTTGAATTGTTTTCCTTCCCTTAAGTAACAGTTGTGCATGTATGGAACAAAAATCCAGTCAGGCACAACAAAGTACCTTAACCATAATAAAAGGGGGATCTTTCATATTAAAATATACAGGATGTAATGTGAGTTATAAAATTGAATTTCTCGTCCTGTGATAGAAAAAAAAAAAAAAACTTGTTTATCCATCTTGAATATAGTTTACACAACCAAGCATTTAATTTTTGTGGCAGTATTTTCAGAGACATACACAAACACTTTTTTCATGCATTGTTAGTGAATGTGGGAAGCGATATACCGTCTACATGTACATTCGACAATAACGAGATTTTTAAATTATAACAAAACGCTTGGAAGAGATCTCGAACGTGCAGTTCATGCAAGGCGGCCTGGGAATTTAAAGGAACTGGATGTTTTTGCCAAAGAGAATATGGAGCTTATACCAGAGAGGATAGATTGCCTAATTCACAACTACCAAAGACCAAGGTGTCAGGGGGATGGAGACTTCCAATCAACAGAAAACCTGTTTTTATTGTCAGTCGGCTCCACACAATGATGAGTAGAGTAGAAAAAGTGTGTGTTATCATTCATAATCTGTGAAAATTTGAGCCAAAATCAAAATTCCTGTTTGGGTGGTTAAATATTTGTGTTTTACTGGCGACAGGAGGATGTAGCTGTTGTGTGACTAACATGTGCTTGTGTGTGCAGAGGAGGCGAACGGGCTGACCACGCTGCAGGACAAGACGGTATACGGAGTGGAGAACAGCAGCACCTTCCTAGAGTGTAGCCCTAAGTCTCAGAGAGCGCGCACCCACTGGCAGTACCAGCGCTCTGGAGAAGAACGCAGAGAGGAGGTGGGTCCCATTCACTCAACGAGGCTGTAACCTAACCCTAACAAATGGGTCTTGATCCTTACTACAGCTGTTTAATAATGCACCAGTTTACTATAGCACTTCTATGGACACTCAAAGATGCTTCACATGTTATGGATTCACTCTACTACTGTGCAGACTGACAGAATCGAGGCAACCAGTCTGTGCCATCGTCCCCTCTGATCACCACTAACCATTCACGCAGTGGGTGAAGTGTCTTGCCTAAGGATACAACAACAGTTCAGCACTAAATAGCCACCCCTACTGTGGCACCTGGTGTTCCTAGAGATCTCCCATCACAGCACTAACCAGGGCCGGCCATGCTTAGGTTCAGAGGTCTGACTGTATCTGGCTTTCACATGTAGGTGGCAACAAATAGTGGAATTATAAAAAGTCTCTTTTATCTTTCACAAGTTTAAGTTAAAGCTGGAATATTTACCAACTTTGGTTCTATCACGAGAACTCTCTCACATGAAGTTGTGGCCTTTTTTAACACATTTTTCAGAAAGAAAAAGGAAAGAAACAGTGACTTGTTTCACACAGCTGTTTCAGCTTGACGTCCCATGTGGTATTCATAGCCCTCCATTATCATTACATGTTGTTTGTGTCAGCAGTCATATGAACAAATCTAACCTCAACTTGTCTTATACTTATAATTCTACAAAAAGATCCTTTGAGTTAGTACTTGTATGCTTTGTACTCTTTGATTCTCTGATCTTGGTTGGCGAATTCAACAGTTGTATTGAGTCCTCCAAGAAAACTACTGTTGTGATATAGGGCTGTGATTGAGTATAGCATTTACAAGACAATTCACTATATTAATACATTTATCTGTTTTCTCTCAGGTGAAATCTGGCGAACGCTTCATCTGCACCGACCAGGGCCTGCTGATCCGCACCCTCTCCAAGTCCGACTCGGGTGTGTACATCTGCCAGGCTGTCGAGCACGGCTTCATGCAGACACTTCTTAAACTCACCCTTGAGGTCATCGGCACGGAGCGCCTGGACACCCTCCTCCAACGTGATGACGAGAGGAGCACACCCAGCGTGTACGCACCGCCCCCCCAAGAGTCGCCCAATCAGAGGCTGTGGTACCGGGACTTCCTGTCACTCGTCAACCACCCCACTCTGCACAGCGTGGACGAGTTCTGCGAGCAAATCTGGAAGCGCGAACGCAAGCACCGCAAGCAGAAGGCGCACACGATCCAACAGCAGCAGCAGAGTAAGACGTTAGCGGCTCCCAGCGTTCAAGTGCGCAGCCAAATGCACACTCCCAGTTTGGCCGCCAAGTGGAAACATCTTCAGGACAGGCAGAAGGGAAGGAATCGGAGGACCCATGATATACAGAGAGCTCCACGTAGCGTCTGAGCCAGTTCCGCTGACAGGACTTAGGAGTCTCGGGTACCAGATTTTTAAAGACTGGGATATAGACTATGATGAACAGATGGAAAAGTGGACACTGGATGACACAATTTAATACAGTAGTGTACATTTTAAGCCTTGAAAACGATTGGGGAGCTATAGGAACACGGGCTATTATGTTGTGCTGCTTTGTGGTATTTTATGAGCATCGGTGTGTTTTTGCTTGAGGGGAATACATTACTATAATCCAAATTAAGTAAAAACATTATTGATAGGACTGGAATTACCCCTTGAACTTAGATTCACTCAAATTTACACCAAACAATGTGCCTGACGTAATGTAGGGGTAACAGGAGATGTCTTCCCGTATCTGAACAATGCTAACCCGCTAGCTCAATGAAGTGCAGTAGAGACGGGCCCAATGGACTTGCTTAGGCTTCTATTGACTTACATTGAAAGGTAAATTCTTTGTCAGACTCACCATTTTGGTCTTAAAAAACTGTGGCTTAGCGCCATCTACAATCCGGGTGTTTATAGTTTGATATTGTCCTTGTACATCCAAATATGAGCCAATTGGAGGATTGACCAATCAGGAACTTTCTGTCAAGAGAGGAACTCAAGCTTGCCTTTGAAGTCATCTTAGCAACACGCCCCTGTTACGTCACAAAGCTAACACCTTGGAAAGAAATGCAATACCAAGAAATTGGCTCCAGCTAGCAATATGTTCAAATTGGCTTCTTCAGTGTTCGGCAAACATTATGGTATCAGTCCTCTCCTATAATACAGTCTCAGGCCAGGATACCCAATGTTGATGCGTTAAAAATAGAACTCCAACCCAGTTTTAAGACGTATACGAGAAAATAAATCTCTTTGACACATTTACAAAACAGGAATATCTTTTTTTGCAAATAAACCCTTCCGTTCTTTATATAAGCAAAAGCTATGGAGTAGTAGAACAAATGTGGCGACAGGTGGTTTAAGGTGACTCACGGCTAAAGAAGCTAACAAATAATGTTAGCATATGTGAACATCCTATTAAAAAATGACAGCTTGAGACAAAAACGTGTTCATAAAACTAGCATTTTAGTTTGACTATACCGTTGGGTTTTCCTTTGTCAGCAAAATAGCAACAAAGAAATAAGCAAGCAGAATGTGAACATTATACCACAAAGAGTAGCACAAAGTTAGCTCATGTCACTAGCACACACTGTACATGGACTACATACTGATAATGTGCATGCTAACTATGGGTATCCCTCTATTAGCCATTTAGCAGTTACCAACAAATAGTTGACGATTCTGCGGGAGAAATAAAAGTATACTGCAGTGGTATATTATAAGCACAAAATAAGTTATCGTGAGCACAGGGGGTAGTACGTGCAGTTCAAATGCCCAGGCACTGCAAAAGAACTGGGAACAGAGGTCACAGGGGGTCGGCATTAGCTGTGGGAGTAAGCTAAGTAGCATATCAGTTTCCAAACATAGTATATACAGAATAATGTATTTAAAGAAAGATGATAAAGTTAAATGGAGGATACACTCGTTCTTTTTTTTTTGGAAACAGGCATTTTAAGCCTATTCAAATGTCAATGTTTTTTCAAAAAAAAGCATTGCACCGTATAGAAATCTTGAAGAAAAGCCTATACTAAAGCCAGCAATTCATTGTGCAGTTTAAGATGATGCTTAATTTTGGAATCCAATAACATATCATGACATGTTTTTTGACTTCCTGTTCAAAAACTTAACATTTGCATTTCATAATGCCACCGTACCCGGCAATCCCGTTTAAAAATTGCTATGTAGCATTTTTAACCCGCTATGTTTGACCTGGAGTTAGAATTTTAGGCCCATCACAAAATACAGAGAAATAGCCTAAGATAGGTGGTAGGTGAAACTCACGGTTTCAGAGCATCGAAGGCTCGAAGGCAGGATTATATGAGATAACTCAGACATGTAAGAACCAATAGAAATTCAACTGTGGGGTAGATAAAAAATCAGGGCACGTGCTATATGTGTGCTATGGACTTATAGTATGTCCCCTCAACTTCTCAAGAGAGTTTTGAAAATCTACCTTTATCGTCACAATTCAGGTCAATTTGAAACAGAATGAAACTGTTCAAAAACATTCAATAATAGCAATATCACACAAATCTCAAGTTAATGCCGAGCCCTGACCACCACTATACAGTTTGTTTAAATATGTGTAAAAGTGTAGCTGAAATGTAAATAGTGTACTAAAAAAGGGAATAGCTTGCATCTTGTTCTCGGTATAGTTTTATTTATTTATGAAACGCAGTAAACAGGAATTTTGTGAACTAGTCTGTCCTCATGCCAAGAACCGACTTATAATTGTAGGCTTTGTTTAGTGGCTTGTTAAAGTTACTCCCAAGTCATAAACACAACTGCCAGATGTTGCTCCATTTTGTACACAGTTTTATTTGTATTTATTGACATTAAATATTATTAGATGGTTCATAATGTCTGGTATAATTTTGGGTTGAAAGCAGGGTTGGGGGAATTGGTGTGTGGAAATTTTACAGCTGAAAATTGCAAGTGTAAGCAGTAGCAGAGAGAGAGGCCTTGGGAACTATGAAACACAAACAGAATTTGTTGTTGTTTTTTTGTTGTTGTTTGCATTGAGGAAGTGACAAATTCCAAACAGATATTATATTAATTCAGAATAATTAGTTTAAAACATTGGAACACCAATAGTCAGACAATGGTTCAGTAGTAGTTATTCCCTCTTGGTTCCTTAGAGCATTATTGTATTTTTGCCCGATATCTCTGGAGAAAATGACCAAAAAGGTCTACCAATGTTGAAAAGGCCTTTGTTAAATGCTAACTATGTTATCCAACACTGGGTGCAACAAAAACTATGAACTGTTACCATTGCTTACCAATAGAATATATGTATTGCACTGGACAATACGACCTATACTTGGGTTTTGAGTGATGAGAGCAACAAACTGTATATTATAAATGGAATACATATAGAGCTGGTTTTTATAAGGGACTAAGGCCGGGGGGGCTGGGGTCGTGGAAATAGTGGCAACCATACAAAATACAGTATTGCAACAACGGGGCCATGCAATCCATTGTTCGAGTGTTTAATGTATGTATGTGGTTTTATCACATAGGCTGTGGAAAAAGTTAAAATAATAAAATGGTCTATTTAAGTATTTAAGACCAAACAAGGGAAAGCTCCTTATTGGTTTGTATGGAATTTTACTCCACAATATTGAGCTGGATGCATGTTACTATTCTTCTGTTTCATATGACGTCAGGGCAGTGGCGCAAATATCAAACGTGGGACAGGACGTGACGTATCCTGGCGGTGCAGTCTGCCGGGTATATACACGGAGATATAGTAGAAGAAGATTCGCCGTCAAAATGCCATCTTTTTGTGCGGTGTACGGTTGTAGCAAACGCGCAAATAGAGAGAAAGACAAGAGTTTCTTCCGTGTTCCATCTGTGGTCTCATATAAAGGAGTACACTTTGAAAATATCTCTCGAATGAGGCGGTCAATGTGGATCAAGGCTTTCCCAGATAAGCGCCCCCTGCAGGCCACCTAAATGAAACGCAGAAATTTCTTCTGTTTTTTTTTTCCAAAAATGCCTGATATCAAGACAAGAAATATGTTTTAGTTCTCCCTTAGAATTGAGTGTCCCCAATTAAGACTGTTACAACAACCGAACACCGCACAGGATGAGAGCCTTTTGACTCCAAAACAGACAAGATTTACATGGTTTTCAGTGGGAGCAAAACTGAGTTGTCCCACCTCTGCTCATTCGCCCCCTACTGGCCAGTTTAATGAAACCCAAGAATTGGTACTGGTTTGATGATGCTTTCTCAAGTCTCTTATATTGCTCCAGGGACAAGACAATAATACCATAAAGCAATGAACAATAAAACATGTTTTCCAATATTGCATATAGGAGTTGGATAACCATCATAACCAGTATTATATTATACTGTATTATATTATGACACATCAAATCCATGATAAACTAAGCTGGAATGTAGCTGTGAACTATTTATTGCATAATTTTACTTCTACTGGGTTCATAATAACTGGTGTAAATACAAATACTATGGTGTATGTTGGATACTGTGTACTAGTGCATGTGGACGTACGTGTTTTGGCAATTGTCTGAATTATGTTGTTAAAAAAGTTGTACATATTGAATTAGGATTCAGAAATGATTTTAAATCCAGATAGGAAGTCTGGGCGGACGCAACAGCACACAAAGTGGAGGCCTTGCGAGGAGGATACGGCGTGACAACTTTAGAAAGGACTCGTTATTGGAGACTGAAGATAGATCCTGAAGTTGGAGATTCTCGCTGATGATGGACACTGTAAAGAGGGTCTTGGCATGTTGCTGATATGATGTACTCTACTGGTCTAATAAATGTCTTCGTAAGTAACTGGCTGAGTGTGGATGTGTATAGGAACATATTTTGCATTTAGAATAAAGAGTATTTTGACATGTTCTGCTATGAATGGGACACAATCATAAAGTAAATAAAAAGATTGTGAGCATGTGAAGATGGAGGTGATAATGACAAAAGTCTGGGCAAAGACGTCTTGAATTGATTGCGTAGATGCGTCAAACATGCTAAAACAATCAAATAAACTAATGTCAATTATGATTAAGAAAATATACATATATAAAGAAAAGTATTATCTACATATCAGTTCATAATAATAGTCCCTACACCAAAAGCAAATAAAGTCCTCTGGCCCTTCCTCCAAGGACACGGAGATCCGGTGGAACCAACTCTCGCAGGTGTCACACTGGACCCATAGAATTGTCTTTTCCCGGCTGTATGGATCCACTTTATTGACCTTTCCACAACACGATGCACGTCCTTTTTTGTGTTTGTGTATGGTTGGGGGAGCTGCAAAAATATGAAGATGAATGACTATATTAATTCAATAAACAAACACTAGATGACATTGAAGGTGTTTTTGTGTTTAAGGGTAGTTTAACCCTCATGTTATGTT